TTAGTGTTTAGGGTTAAGGGTTTTAGGGTTTAGGGTTTAGAGTTTAGGGTTTAGGGTTTAGGGTTTAGGGGTTTGGGTTTAAGGTTTTGGGTTTAGGGGTTCGGGTTTAGGGTTTGCGGTGTAGGGGTTGAAAACTACGGTCCTGGGACCCTAAACTCTAAAGCCCTGAGCCCAAAGCCCTTAAAACTCTCAACCCCAAACCCTCAAACCCTGAAGCCCTAAGTTCTTAAATCCGAAACCCTAAGCCCTCAAAGCTCCCAACCCTAAACCCTGAAACCCTGAAGCCCTAAATTCTAAAATCCGAAACCCTAAGTCCGAAAACCCTAAAGCCCCAGGTTGCGGCACGGGACCCACCAGCGGCTAAATCAGTGGCAGTACTGTTGAGGCTGAGTGCAGACTTGCAGTTCGCATGCCCGGATAATTGAAGATGACCGTCGCCTTAAATACTTGCATTCGAAGCATGCGAACCCTAAACCCTAAACCCTAAACCCTAAACCCTAAACCCTAAACCCTAAACCCTAAACCCTAAGTAAGTCGTCGCTCCTACAGCCTGAGCCCCTAAACCCTGTCTTCCTCGAACCCCAAACGCCCGAAGCCCCGAACCTTACATCCAGGGTTTAGGGTTTTAGGGTTTAGGGTTTAGGGTTTTAGGGTTTAGGGTTAAGCGTTCAGGGTTCAGGGTTTAGAGTTTAGGGCTGTAGAGCCTGAGGAGTACTGTAGCAGCGAGTAGACATCAGCCTCTTCGATAAGGAGTGCGGCGCCTGGTTCCTATTTTGGGCAACTAAGGTTTGAGTACATGAAGCCTTAAACCCTTTCGAAACGATGTTGACAAGTTAGACAAGACGCCCTCAGGCTTGGGTGCTGAACCCCTAAAGCCCTACAGACCCAAAGCCTAAACCCTTTTCTTGACACCCGAAGAGGCCGTGGTCGCCGGCGCGGCGGCTTCGGTAGTGCTTGGTCAGGGCCCTCGCCGGCTTTTGGTTTCAGGGTTGATGGTGTGGGGTTGAGGGTTTCGTGTGCAGGGTTTAGGGTGTAGGGATGTTTCGGGTGTAGGGTCCAGCGTTTAGGGGTCCTGGGGTTTAGGGGTCCGGGGGATTTTCATGTTCTGGGCAGGCCCGCCGGTTTCAAGTGATTTCCGACTTTTGGAGTGACCCCGAATCCCTAGACTTTATGCCCTAAACCCTAAACCCTAAACCTAAACCCTATGTGCAGACGGACAGGATTCCTTTAAAACAAACCTAAACCCTAAACCCTAAACCTAAACCAGATGTGCAGACGGAGAGGAGCCCTTAACAAAGCCTAAACCCGGAACCCTGACCTGATGGAGTTTTTTTTGAAGAGACCGATTGAAGGCATCCAGGTCTGTCGCTGGCAGTGCAAGTATCTGGTTTAGGGTCTAAAGGGTTAGGATTTAGGGTTTAGGTTTTAGGGTTTAGGGTCTAGGGTACGAAGGGTTTGTGGTTTTGTGATTTGTTTAGCTTTGGGGAGGTTGCACACTGAGCTCTCAACGGTGAATCTTTGGAGTTATCGGGCTCGTGGCTAAAGAGTTTAGGGGCCCCGATTGGGGGATTTGGGTTTAGGAGCCTCAAACTTTGTCAAATCCCAAACCCTAAACTCCAAAACCTAAACCCTAATCCCTGAACCCTAACCCCTAAACCTTAGGGGTGTAGGGCTTGGCCGGGGTTCCCAAGCCCAAAATACCCGAACTTCCAAAGAAGAAAGCGGCTTCGCAACCTTCCGAGAACTTTCACTTTTGGGGGTTTAGGGTTTAGGGTTTAGGCTTAAGGGTTGAGGGTTTAGGGTTTAGCCCCAGAGAAGGAACTCTTCAAGCCTGAAGCCCTGCACCCCTATGAAATAACAAAGAAGAATAGTTGGAGATCGCTTGTAGAACTGATTTTTAATTTTTGTGAATTTTTGACCCCCCATAAAATCCCTTGAACCCTAAACCCATATGAAGCCAAACAAGCTCTAAAGCCAAAGCCCTAACCGTAAACCCTAAACCCTAAAGCCAACATTGCCCTTCAAGTCCCAGGTGTTGGCCGGTTGCCTGAGGAGCTGCTGGGATTTCTACGCCTCGGTATTGAGCAGGCGCCTCCTTCAGCACGGGCTTCGGGTTTCGGCTAAAGGAGTTCTGTAAGATCCCCTAAACTGGCCCTAAACGCTAAACCTTAAGTCCTGCACCCTGAACCTCAGCCCCAGACCGTAAGGTGGCCCTAATATAGGGGCTTTTATAGTTACCTATACTGTTGTGGGGGTTCCTCCTTAAAAGTTATAGTATAACTTGCTCCAAAACCCTATTCTAATTATTAAAGCCCCTACATGAGACTGTAATTTGGGGCACTGCGAGGCGTCTCAGCGAGTGTAGAACCCTATAATGCAAGCACAACAACCGAAGCGACTTATAGCTGCCGATGAGCTTTGGTTTAGACTGTAGGGTTTATAGGAGTGGCAGCAGCAGCAGCAGCAGCCCCAGTAGCCGTTAGCGGGATGTTCAGGTCCGCGATTCCGACGCCCGAGCCTGCATAGCAAGTCGCCCAAATCCCGAGTACATTGAAACCTGAAAACCTCAAGATACTGAAACGGGTTTGGGGACGTCGTAAGCAGGGTTATCGGTACCAAGCTTGGCGGTTACCATGTATACATATATATATATATATACATATATATACACGGTATATATATATATATGTATATATGTATACAAAAAATATGTATATATATATATATATATGAGTATATATATATACACATGCAGACATACGTACACATACACACTATGGTTGCCCAACTTATATAACCCACTCAACCCTTGCAGAACTCTGGTAGGTTCCTTGAGGGAACTTTATCAAGGGAGCTGCATTAGTACCTGTAATGGAAAGAGTTCAGGGTTTCGGGTTTAGGGCCCCTGAACCCTAAACCCTAAACCCTAACCCCTAAGGTTTAGGATTTAAGGGTTTAGGGGCCTGCAGGGGCTGATCAAGAAGCTTTGACAAGCCCGGCTGCCAGGTTTGCCTGGTTCTGATACTCTTCGCCGTATATGCTGTCAGTGCGGGCCGCAGCTATTGCAACCCTAAATCCTAAACCCTAAAGCCTAAATGCCACAAGCCCTTGAATCCTTCGCCCTGCAAGCGTTCAGGGTTCACAGTCTGGGTTTCGAGTTTCAGGATCTGTGTGGTTTACGTTAGAATTTAGCCCTTCAGCTTTAGATTCATCCCATGCCTGCAGCCCACAACAGCCTACTTTCTTCGTGTTCCTCAGTATGGTTTCCGACGGTTTCCTGATCAACCCGAAGCCCCAAACCCTAAACCGTAAACCTTAAACCTTAAACCCTGACCCCTAAACTTTAAACCCTAAACCTTAAACCCTATTTTCCTGTATCACGAGGCTCTTGGGACTATTGCCCAGCCCTGTCTCCTAGACCTCGAGGGTCTATATAGGGCTCCTTTAAAGGGGTTTGTACTACAAGGGCAAAGCTGAGGGTTTAGGGGTTTAGGTTTTCGGGGTTTAAGGGCTTAGGGTTTAGGGGTGTAGGGTGGGAGGTTTAGGAGTGTAGAGTTTAGGGGGCCTTAAGATAGAAGCCTGAGTCATTAGCAACTTTCCCTACGGGCTCCTTCATAAAATCACAGTCAGGAATATAGGGGCCTCAATGATTACCTATACTTTTTTGGGGGCTCCTTGCTATGATTTTAGTGTAATATACCCTAAAACCCCATTCTAATTATTAAGGCCCCTCTATTAGACTGCATGTACTCCCCCCAGCTCCAAAAAAATCCGATTCTGACTCTTAAGGCTTCAAGATTACACTTCTCAAATCCCTGAACCCTAAACCCTAAACCCTTAAACCCTAAACCCTAAACCCTAAACCCTCTTTCTGATTATAGGGCCCTCAGAGTTGGAATAGGATTTTATAGGGAAGGGCCAGCAAGAGCTCTCAAAGGAAAAGAGTTCAAATCCCGGGACCCTATAGAAGCATTGAGCCCTCTAGATTCTAATCCCCAAATCCTAAACCGCAAACCCTAAACCTTAAGCCCTAAACGCTAATCCCTACACAACTCTATGGACCCCTATAGAATCCCTATATCACCATATAGATCAGATCCCTTTAACGGAACCCTAAGCCCGGAGCCCTAAAAGCCTAAAGCCCTAAATCCAGAACCTTGGCCCTATAGATCCCCTACAGAAACCCTATATCCCCTGTAGATCCCTTTAAAGCAACTTTACATCACCATATAGATCCCTCTAAAAGGAACCCTAAACCCGGAGCCCTAAAAACCTCGAGCCGCAAGAAGCCCCTACTTAGCCCCTAAGACCCCAAACTTCTGGGGTTTCAGGGGGTTTAGGGTCAGGGTTCAGGGTTTAGGGTTCAGGCGGTCTAGGGTCAGGGTTTATTGTTTAGGGGTTTAGGGTTTAGGGGTTTAGGCGGTTTGGGTTTAGGGTTTAGGGTTTCAATGAGTCCTCCAAACTTCCGCATCGCAACTAAGTTGCGCAGAGTTTGGCGTGATGCAGATGTCCGACTAATTATGTATGGGTAATATCCATTCGTGCTCCCTGCAATGACAACACCCAACTCTCAGTCAACCCTACACCCTAAACCCGAAATCCTAAACACGAAACCCGAAACCGAAACCCTACCGCCTAAACCCGAAACCCTAAACTCCAAAATCCGCAACCTCTGCTTCGCTGCATACTCTTGAAGCAAGCTTAACCTCCATAGCCGTTTACAGAAGCATTTAGGGGAACCCTTGTTCAAGCTTACATGTTCTCTTGAAGCAATCCCTCTACCCCTAGACCCTAAACCCTAAACCCTACACCCTAAACCCTAAACCCTAAACCCTAAACCCTAAACCCTGAACCCTAAACCCTAAACCCTAAACCCGAAGCCCAGGTCCTGCATCCCGACGGACCCATTGCAACCTACCAAAGACTTCAAACTCCGTTAAAAACACATCCGGGAAGCCCGACAGAACTTTTCAAGAGAAGCCTTCTAGAATCCTTAAGGGAGCCCTCCAAACCCTAAGCCCTAAGGCTTAGGGTTTAGGGTTTAGGGTTTAGGGTTTAGGGGTTTAGAGTTCTAAACCCCACGGGGTTTAGGGTTTAGGGTTCAGGGTTCAGGGTTTAGGGCTAGGGTTTAAGGTTTAGGGTTTAGTTTAGGGTTTAGGGGCAAGCCCCACACCCCGAATTCGCAAACTCTGCGTCCGGCCCTAGGTGCCTGGCACTTCTCTGCACGCGCCTGGCCTGGTGCAGGGTTTAGGGTTTAGGTTTAGGGTTTAGGGTTTAGGGAACGTTTCGTGTCAAACTAAGCAGTCATGAAATATGTACATGTGTCGTAATCATATATGGTGTCATATTCATATGCTATGTCCCTCTCCATCTCCCTCTCTCGCTCTCAGTCCTTTTCTATTTGTTTTCTGCATCGTATAGACATACATATAATTATATATATACACATACATATATATATATATATACATATCATTGCTGTGTGTGTTTGGGAGAAGAGGTTCTACTTAGAGTTTTGTTGCTTGATGTCTGTGTTTGGGTTGATTTGTTCCTATGGTTGCAGGAGTCCTGAACCCTAAACCCTAAACCCTAAACCCTAATAATATGCTTGTCACTACTGAACTTGCGACGTGTTTTTCCCACAGGGACGGGACGGGTTGTCAAGTCTTTTAACGGCTCCTTCGTTTTCTGGTTTTGGGTTTAGCTAAACTTAAACCCTCATTCTAAAGCCTAAGCCCTGAACCCTGAACCCTGAACCCTTAAACCCTAAACTTTACACCCTGAACACTGAACCCTTAAACCCTTAAACCCTAAACCCTAAACCCCTAAATAAACCCTTAAACCCTACAAGCCCTAAGCCCTGAACCCTTAAACCCTAAACCCTAAACCCTAAACCCCTAAATAAACCCTTAAACCCTACAAGCCCTAAGCCATAAACTCCACTCTCCTCAGGTGTCTGCGGGCGTCGGCGCCCAGGGTACTCCTCGGCAAGAGCGAAGCTACTGTGGGGTGAGACAGGCCAGGATATATATTAGGGTTTAGGGTTTAGGGTTTAGGGTTTAGGGTAGTTGTCAAAATTATGGTCCCTTTTGGGGTACCCTAAATAATAGGTGCCGTATTATAATAAGTTAGGACCCAAAAAGGGACCCTAATTTTGACAACCACCCATATAGAGGCCTCAACAATTACCTATAGTATTTTGGGGGTTTCCGTGTTATATTGATGGTGTAATGGACCCCCAAATTCCCTTCAAATTATCAAGGCCCCTCCATTAGTAGGTAGGCTTTTAAGGTTTTGCACGGTTTTCGTATGGGCTTCTGCACAGACCCTAAACCCTAAACCCTAACACCTCATATTCGTGCATTCCAGCAGGCCTCACACCATGATATGAGGAGTGCCGTTAACCCTCTTAGAGAGCCATGAACCCCAAACCCTAAACCCTAAACCCTCAACCCTCAACACTAAACCCTAAACCCTAAACCCGAAACCCTAAACCCTAAACCCTAAACCCTAAACCCTCAACCCTCAACCCTAAACCCTAAACCCTAAACCCTAAGCAATAGGGAGCCCTTGAAGCCGGCAGGCGGTCCGCCCAACTTCCCGCTGCCACGACGAAACTCCCGGGTGCCCGTCGCCTCGCTTGCATCCGTTTTCGTGCTCTGTCTTAGTGCTTCAGGCATTTTGAGGAGAAGAAGAGCCCTAAGCCCTAAGCCCTAAACCCTAAACCTAAAACCCAAAACCCAAAACCCAAAACCCTAAATTCAAAACCCTAAACCCAAAACCCTAAACCCAAAACCCGAAGCCCTAAACCCTAAACCCTAAACCCTGAACCCAAGACCCGAAGCCCTAAGCTGCTTCTGCTAAAAGAGCAGAGCTGGGAGCTTTACAGCAATGACAAGCTTTGGCAGTCAACGTTCGGGGTTTGAGTTGTGAGGCCTAGTTCAGGGTTTAAGGTTTAGGGCTTAGGGTTGAAGGTTNNTTAGGGAATCAAGGAATCCATGAACCAAAAAATCAATCAATCAAGGAAGGTAGGAACGAATGATTGAACCAGCTCCACCCTTGAGGAATCTCCAAAGCCCCTTCGTCTGCGTTCGCGGTCCGCAGCGAGCCCAGGAACTGCGAAACAGGAGACCC